AACATGTCGCGCTGTAAAAGATGGTGTATCACAGGTTAATCTTATCTCAAGGAGGATGGCAGATCTGCTATCTCTTAAGGAAATGTCATCGATTGAAATATCTGGAATCGGAGGAAAAATATCGAGAGCAATCAGATCAAAACTAAAGCTCCCATCATGTACATCAGGGTTTGAAACACTCTTAGAGGTATTTGTTATGCCCACAGTCATTACAGACCAACCGTCAGTACCGATTGCAACCGATCTTAATATTCCCGAGGGACTGCCGTTAGCAGATCCTGACTTTCGGCAACCAGGACCCATTGTCCTAACTTGAGGGGTTGAAGTATTTTCAAGTTTAATAACTGGTGAACTTCTTGAACTAGGACCTAATAGACCGTTGGCCCAAGGCACAAGGCTTGGTTATGTAATCACAGGTTTTCTCGATAAAGAAATCTCATCTGATAAGGAAATCAACCCTATTCTGGCAGAAGACAGAGATGATCTTGCAGGACCGAACGCTGCGTATGAGCCAACGAAAGATAAAAATCCGATGAATGATAATCATTTTGAAGATAGCAAACGGCAGAATTAGCTTTCACTCGATGAAGAAGGGATTTATTTAACGAACTTAGCATTGATGGATCATAAAATAGTGGAGCCTAAAGATACATGTAGCCAATCAAGAAATAGCGACACTAACTCGTCCGATCGAGAATCAACCGCTGTACATAATAGTTCATTGCAGCTGACTAAACTTAAATTAATATAGAACCGACTTCTCATCGATTTAAAGCATACAAGAAGTCTGACTTTTGTTCAACATTTCTAAACTTAACCAAGAAATATCTTAGTTTTGTTGCAGAAGGTCCACATACCACAGACGTGCCAAAATATATATATATCTAGGAGGGCACGGTAATCCCAGTCAGTCCCCACGGTAATGTCAATTTTATCGCAAAGGGGAGTGTTAAGCAGCATCAAGAAGATGTGAATGACCTGAATCACAAACATGACCCGCCGCAGTTGAAGGAAAGTTCCACCTCGGTCAATGACTTGTTAGGCGCTTCCTATACAATTTGGCCAAGGGCTGACCGACATCGCGATTTAATTGAGGGTACCCCTCAATTGGGGGGGGGGGGGGGTGGGGGGTGGGGGAATGTTCCTACCCAAAGGTGCTCAACATGACCACACCCAACAAATCAAGCAGTAGTCAAGTTGGGAACAGTACCAGGCGCTCAATAGTACCCACTGCATATGAGAATTTCTGATCAGCGTACTATATGTCTCACCAACTCACCGTCTCACCGACTCAACGGCCAATGCAGTCAGCACATTTTGCAGTGTCTGCCAAGCCAACTACACAAACTGCTACCATAACCAAAACTCCCTGACCTACCTACCTACTTTAGAATATAGCTTACTTCACTAAACATTACACTAAACTTCCGAGTGCCAAGTAGTATATAAACATGTACCAAATGAAGAATAAATCAGTTATCAACTCCGCTGTTCTACTTCCTACCTCTGGGAATAGGGCTCGTAATACACTATCTCCACTAGCAGCTAACCTACGTTAGCTCAACCTCAGCGCAGTTCCGCATCGCCTGTGGTCCGGCATCGCAGTAACCGTGCCGGCGACAAGTGCTCATTACCCCCTTGTGCCGCGGTGTGACCCGGAAGTGTCTACTTCGGTTAGGCACAAACAGGTTCCTTAAACCGGATAACTTCCAAATGAACCGAACTTTAAATCCGAAAAATTTGAGTGGGTTTTGGCGAAGAGAGAATCAAGCAAGGGTAATTAAAGGGCGAAAATAAGTAGTCGCAGGCGGTTCAGTTGACAAAAAAATAATATTATAAGAAGTCAAGTTCCTACCCAGTGAGTGATAAAAAAATACTTGTTGATGTGAGTGGAGCTTAAATATTTATAGAATATTCCGTGAGGGATATATTGAGCTGGCAAATCTTATAATTGAAGCCGCCGTTCGTGCGTTCACATGAAGAGTTTATTTGCAACTAACATATAAGGAGAATACAATTATCATACATTGTCGATGCTCCATCTTCGTAAGAGCGAGATGATACTAAAGTACATGCCAGCATGGCCAGAGTTCTGTAAAAGCATTTTATTTTCTACACCCTTCCTTGCATGCTTACAAAAATGTAAATCTAACTTAAATGTATCATCATCATTTTTGGTCAAAATATCAGCAGTCATTTCATTAGTACATTTACACTTTAACAAAACTTGACCTTCCTTGACAACTTGTCTTACAAAATGATAGCGTATAACTGGATTCTTGGCCAAAGCTTGGGAACTCAAATTGTCACCGTACAGGATGATTGGAGTCTGCTCGTCTGCGCAGCCAATTTCGTTTATCGGTCTGCGCATCAGAATGGCCTCTTTGCAAGCTGATGATAGCGCCATATACTCCGCTTCGGTACTGCTATATACGAATACGAAATAAACCTGCTTCGAGAAAACGACGCGACAATGAGCCAAAACTTGGCACTTCCGCCAATTAGCATTCCGGAGTTCAACGGCGAGTATCTAGACTGGCCACGGTTCCATGATCTCTTTGTGGAATTGGTACATAATAAACCATATTCCGCCAGTCAAAAACTACGTATTCTACAGAGTTAGCTTCGTTGTGAAGCGAGGAACGTTTTGACAGACACAGCCTTCTCACAGGGTGGCTATGACGACACCTGGTTGCGTTTGAAGGCCAGGTACCAAAACGGAAAAATACTAGTATTCGCCGCCATAGCAAAAATTATTGACCATAAGCCTATAGACGGCTCCTCGCGCCAACTAGGGGACTTACATGACTCAATGAGTACTCTTAAAACCCTCGATGTCAGCACAAAATCCTAGGATCCAATCCTGTGTTTTCTTATCAGAAGAAAACTAGACCAGCAGTCTCTAGCTGCTCTGGAAAATTCAGCGGATGCACCAACGGAGCCGATAAGCGCTCAACCTACAGCAACAGTCAGCCATCAGTTAGTTCACAACGAAGAGAGCTGTATGATTTGTCAGCTAGGACAACATAATCTTAGAGCATGTAGCCGAGTCCAGCAAATGGACCCCAAAGCACGGCGCCAAGCCATTTTTCAAGTAGGAGCATGCACAAATGGTTTGTCTACAGCTCATAAGGTTGAAAACTGTGGATCACCAACCACTTGTCGAGTCTGCCAGCAACGGCATCACTCACTGTTACACCAAGGACCGACTAGCAATCCAGTGGCCGGCGCAGTAACCATTGCGGGCTACGACAACCCTAGAGGATTTACTCTGCTCGCGACCGCTAAGGTATCATTACAAGGGCCAACGGGTCACCTACAAACATGTCGCGCTGTAAAAGATGGTGGATCACAGGTGAATCTTATCTCAAGGAGGATGGCAGATCTGCTATCTCTTAAGGAAATGTCATCGATTGAAATATCTGGAATCGGAGGAAAAATATCGAGAGCAATCAGATCAAAACTAAAGCTCCCATCATGTACATCAGGGTTTGAAACACTCTTAGAGGTATTTGTTATGCCCACAGTCATTACAGACCAACCGTCAGTACCGATTGCAACCGATCTTAATATTCCCGAGGGACTGCCGTTAGCAGATCCTGACTTTCGGCAACCAGGACCCATTGTCCTAACTTGAGGGGTTGAAGTATTTTCAAGTTTAATAACTGGTGAACTTCTTGAACTAGGACCTAATAGACCGTTGGCCCAAGGCACACGGCTTGGTTATGTAATCACAGGTTTTCTCGATAAAGAAATCTCATCTGATATGGAAATCAACCCTATTCTGGTAGAAGACAGAAATGATCTTGCAGGACCGAACGCTGCGTATGAACCAACGAAAGATAAAAATCCGATGAATGACAATCATTTTGAAGATAGCAAACGGCAGAATGAGATTTCACTCGATGAAGAAGGGATTTATTTAACGAACTTAGCATTGATGGATCATAAAATAGTGGAGCCTGAAGATACATGTAGCCAATCAAGAATTAGCGACACTGACTCGTCCGATCGAGAATCAACCGCTGTACATAATAGTTCATAGCAGCTGACTAAACTTTATAATGCAAAAGATAAACCAATTAATATAGAACCGACTTCTCATCGACTTAAAACATACAAGAAGTCTGACTTTTGTTCAACATTTCTAAACTTAACCGAGAAATATCTTAGTTTTGTTGCAGAAGGTCCACATACCACAGACGTGCCAAAAGATCAAGTTCTAAGAGGGCACGGTAATCCCAGTCAGTCCCCACGGTAATGTCAATTTTATCGCAAAGGGGAGTGTTAAGCAGCATCAAGAAGATGTGAATGACCTGAATCACAAACATGAACCGCCCCACTGCATATGAGAATTCCTGATCAGCATATTATATGTCTCACTAACTCACCGTCTCACCGACTCAACGGCACACTAACCCGCCAATGCAGTCAGCACATTTTGCAGTGTCTGCCAAGCCAACTACACAAACAGCTACCATAATCAAAACTCCCTGACCTACCTACCTACTTTAGAATAAGGCTTACTTCACTAATCATTACACTAAACTTCCGTGTTCCAAGTAGTATATTAACATGTACCAAATGAAGAATAAATCAGTTATCAACGCATCTCATAAAGCCGCTGTTCTACTTCCTACCTCCTACCTCCTACTCGGAATTGTCTACTTCTGTTAGGCACAAACAGGTTCCTTAAACCGGATAACTCCCAAATGAACCAAAGCTTAAATCCGAAAAATTTGAGTGGTTTTTGGCGAAGAGAGAAACAAGCAAGGGTAATTAAAGGGCGAAAATAAGTAGTCGCAGACGGTTCAGTTGGCAAAAAAATAATATTACAAGAAGTCAAGTTCCTACCCAGTGAGTGATAAAAAAAAAACTTGTTGATGTGAGTGGAGTTTAAATATTTATAGAATATTTCGTGCGTTCACATGAAGAGTTTATTTGCAACTAACATAAAAGGAGAATACAATTATCATACATTGTCGATGCTCCATCTTCGTAAGAGCGAGATGACACTAAAGTACATGCCAGCATTGCCAGAGTTCTGTAAACGAATTTTATTTTCTACACCCTTCCTCAATGCTTTCATGTTTACAAAAATGAAAATCTAAGTTAAATGTAACATCTCAGTAAATTCTACATATTTTTTCTTTGGGAGATTTTTGGTCAAAATATCAGCAATCATTTCATTAGTACATTTATACTTTAACAAAACTTGACGTTCCTTGACAACTTGTCTTACAAAATGATAGCGTATATCAATATGTTTTGTTCTGGAATGATGAGCTGGATTCTTGGCCAAAGCTTGGGAACTCAAATTGTCACCGTACAGGATGATTGGAGTCTGCTCGTCTGCGCAGCCAATTTCGTTTATCAGTCTGCGCATCAGAATGGCCTCCTTGCAAGCTGATGATAGCGCCATATACTCCGCTTCGGTACTGCTAAGGGCGACACTTCGCTGCTTTTCAGATCGCCGAGAAATTGGACCTCCAGCTAGGAAGTAGGTGTACCCGGTATATGACTTCCTGTCGACTTTGTCACCGGCCCAATCCGCGTCTACGTATCCAAGAAAGGGTTGACCACACTGCATGTAGTGTAGCTTCATGTCAACTGTTGATGCCAGATACCTTTATACATGCTTGATACCGGCCAGATGTTCGGTATGTGGATCCTGATTCCGTTGAGGCAGTTTGGAAAGGGAGTGCAAAATGTCCGGCCTGGTTGTAAGTGCAAGCCACATTAGCTCGCCATCAGCAGACTGGTATAGAGTTGGATCAATCTTTTTGCACTGATTGCTAGTGCAAGCTACCTGGTATCCTGCATTCACTGGTGTGGCAGCCTGTCTGCAATTTTCAATGCCGTGTGCATGCAGTAGATCCTTTATATACTGCAAATGTCCCAGGGAAATTGCTCCTAGCTCTCCCTCACGCTCTATCTCCATGCCCAAGAAAAGGTTTAGTGAGCCTTTGTCCACGCATTCGAACGACTTCGAGATACTCGATTTGATTCTGAGCAGATCCTCTTTTGACTGACAGGCTACCAGGATGTCATCAACGTATACAAGAATTAGCGAGAGGCTTCCATTGCCAGTCTGCTTTTAAAGACATAATTCGTTCTCACAAGCAATGAAGCCGAGCTTAACCAGGGTACTGTCAAGCATGGAATTCCATTCCCTTCTTGACTGCTTTTATCCGTATATCGCCCTCTTGAGAAGCAAACTCTGATCGATATACTCCTCCGGTTGCTTCATGTATACCATCTCACTAAGGTCGCTGTTTAAGTACGCTGTACATACGTCCATCTGATGCAGATACAGACCGAGCTCTGTTGCTAAGGCTAATATAAAACGCACACTCTCTAGCCTGCAAACTGGAGAGAAGTCTCTTGATAGTAAACGCCGTATTGCTGGGAGCATCCTTTTGCAACCAGACGTGCCTTGAAACGTTCTGTTTGGCCATCCTTGTCGCGCTTGACGTTAAATACCCATTTGCATCCGATCACACGCTGATTTCTTGGTAAAGAGAATCGTATTCCCTTTGCATAGCATCACGCCATTCGGATGCAAACGGACTGCTCATAGCCTCTTTAAATGTTGCTGGTATCGGGACATCTTTTGTCATTAAAGCACCTAGGATGTTGTACTGCTTTTTGGGACGACCAGGCTTGCCAGTCCGGATGAGCTTCGGCCGTCCAGGCCCTATACGTATCTCCTTTTTGTCATCTTTTTCTTCCTCAATCTTTGTATCCTCATCGTTTTCGTTCTTGTCCTTTTCGTCCTTGTCTTTTTCGTCAGGTTCTGAGGCACTCTGGACCTGATCGGAACTTTCACTAGAGCTGTCATCTCCACCAGTGTCGCTTGAATCGTGACCAATCCTATCAGCCTCCGGAAAAAGATCAAAAACAGCTTTATCATGATTTTCGTCAAATAGGACATCTCTTTTTTCGACTACTAGTCGCGTAGTTGAATCGTACAGACGATACCCTTTAGCCGCCACCGAGTACCCAACCATTATATACACCTTGCCTTTTGGTTAAAACTTGTTTCCTTTTCATGGACGCTTGTCCAGAGCAACTGCAATAGAACCAAATACCTTTAGATGATTTATACATAGTTTCTTACCAGTCCACGATTCTATTGGTGTCATGCAATTCACTGCGCTGGTTGGAGAACGATTTCGTAAGTAAACAGCTGTGTTAACAGCCTCAGCCCATAAGGATTCGCATAATCCTGACTGCACGAGTAGGCATTTAGACATTTCCACTAATGTCCTATTAGCCCTCTCAGCGACTCCATTCTGATGTGGTGTGTAAGCTATGGTAAGCTGCCTACCGATACCCTGATGACGAAGAAAGTCATCGAACTCTTTGTTGACGAATTCTCCCCCGTTGTCCGTGCGAAGAAATTTCAGCTTTCTATCTGTCTGCCGTTCAACCAGATTCTTAAACTCCATTAACTTTGATAGGACTTCATCCTTCTTGCGCAAGAAATACACAAAAATCCTTCTGGACTTGTCATCAATAAATGTCAGGAAATACATCGATCCCGCCAGCGATTGTGTGGGAAACGGGCATCATACATCTGCATGTATCAGCTTCAAAAGCTCTGTGGCTCTGTTGGCGGTAGCTGCTGGAAACGGTAGTTGGTGGATTTTGCTGAGTATGCAAGTCCTACACTTGACATCCTGTGAAAGAATTATATTTTCCGCACAACGCAGCATACCTTTCGAAAAAATTTCCCTCAGACTAGAAAAATTTATGTGACCATATCTCTTGTGCAATAAAACGCCGTCAGTTGCAGTGGCGGAAAAACATTTGCTGTTTGTGCTTTGAAACAAGTATAGATTGCCAATTCTGTTGGCACTGACAATGCATTCGCCGTCCTGCATGACCTTTGCGTTTTGCAGACCGAAATTCACCGTGCACCTGTTTTTCACCGAACTGCTTACTGACATAAAATTGCCATGCATTTTTGGAACATAAAGCACGTTCTTCAAAGTAAATGTACACAGCTTTGTCTGAAACTTTACATCACCTTTTCCTTCAGCTTCAAGGAAACCAGCATTGGCAAGACCAATCATCTCTGTGTGTTTTTCGAATTTAGTGAAAAGCTATCTTTCACAACACATATGGCTTGTCGCCCCACTGTCCAAACACCACATCGACTTTTGAAAATTGCCGGCGTCCTACGCATTTAGCAAGCTGCACTGTCGATTCGACCCACTGTTGGTCGTCGTGCGAATATGGTTGTCTCTTTCAACCGCTTGTGGACACTGGGATTTTACATGTCCACGCTCGCCACACTTGAAACAGACGAAATTATTTCTTTTATTCTGCCCATTCGTGTTCGTATAAGAATTTTTGTTCTGTGCTGCGACAAACGCCTTGGTATTGTCATCCTGCTCATTTGCGATTCGCCTTCTTCTTTGAGCTTAATGCAGAGAGTTTCAAACGAGGGCAATTCATCTCTGGTCTCGATAGCCACCACGAAATTTTCGAATTGTTCTGGAAGACTCGACAGTAAAACAATTGTGCGTAGCTCCTTATTTAGGTCAATTCCAACTGAAATTAGACCATCCAGAACTTCCAGGAATTCGTTAAGATAACTGTATATGTTTTGGCCATGTCCCATTCGCTTTCCAAGCAACTTCTTGTACAACTGTACCTTCCCCTGCAAGCATTTTTTATCGCGGAAGGCACTATTAAGTGACTTCGAGAAGATGAAAACGATCGTCCGCGATATCGCATTCGGGTCGCGGAGGTGACTCCCGTCGGGAAGAAATGTGCCACTTCGGCGACACTTCTCGAAGTCACTTCTGCGTTACTTCTGGAAGTGTCGCCGAAGTCACTTCTGGAAGTGTCGCCGAAGTGACTCCGAGAAGTGCCGCCGAAGTGGCACATTTCTTCCCGACGGGAGTCACTTCCGCGATCCGAATGCGATATCGCCGAAGTAACTTCTGGAAGTGTCGCCGAAGTCACTCATAGAAGTGCCGCCGAAGTGGCACATTTCTTCCCGACGGGAGTCACTTCCGCGATCCGAATGCGATATCGCCGAAGTAACTTCTGGAAGTGTCGCCGAAGTCACTCATAGAAGTGCCGCCGAAGTGTCACATTTCTTCCCGACGGGAGTCATTTCCGCGATCCGATTGGGATATCGCCGACTTAACTTCTAAAAGTGTCACCGTAGTCACTTCTGGAAGTTACTCCAGACTTTACATTTGCTTGTAGAAGACATCTAGAAGAGTCTTTCCCAATTGGAAAAACTTGAATAAAAACATATTTATTTATACTTTCAATATTTTGCATTTATTATTTGTATAAGGGCTTTGTCCGCTTGTATACACGGAACAATGTTATTTAGGTCCAGCTCCGTCGACATAAGAAATTTATTAATAACCATTTCTAAAGGAAACAGAAACAAAATTTTTTTTTTGTTCAGTCAAAGTAAAAGTAAACTAGAAGACATTACCTTTTACAATGAATTATGTTGAGAATCGTTGGATCCGCAGTTACACGCCAAGTAATGTCCACAGCTAGCTTGTCCGTAAATAGCTTTAAATAATCGTACAGCTCACGATAAGCACTTAATTTCGCACCCTTTGTTAAAGGGGATATTTAAATATGTTAAGCAATTAATAAGATTTAGAAAAAAACAAAGCAATATTTTTAAAACGCGCAAAATTTATACAAAACCACGCTGTACACAGACAAATCGCGCAACGATAATAGCGTAGGTCAAAAGGAAGACCAAAAAATTTTCAGAAAAAAAGGGGTAACGGAAAATTACCGCGACCTCTTTTTATGGCTTGTTTTTTTCCATTCATTTTGTTTTTGTAAAATGTGTACTATCGTCTTTCTATCGCGCAGAAGTTACTAAGAAGTGACTCCTGGACGACAGGCGATAGAAATATAGCCCTTTTGCTTGCAGGGTCCGTACCGGACCACGAGCCTGATGCACTTCTTTTAGCTTTCCCAATGCTTCTGACGAATATTGACAATTTTTTATGTATGCCAACTACGATGTTTTTGCACTTAATGTAATTGTCGCCAAAGCCTTTTGATCTTGTGCACTCCAATTGACGCCTTCAGGAGCATTTGTAGCAGTCAATTCTCCGGACGTTACACTCCACATCCCAGAATGCACCAACACAGATCGCATCTGTATGCTCCTCGAATCATAGTTATTGTCTTCTAACTTATCTATTTGATATAGACCACTCATATTTGTCTTATGAGTTACACAGTGTTCCTAGCTTTTAAGCACTCTTCCGATTTAACCGTGCCCTGGGCCCATAACCTATTGAGCTGGCAAATCTTATAATTGAAGCCGCCGTGCGTGCGTTCACATGAAGAGTTTATTTGCAACTAACATAAACGGAGAATACAATTATCATACATTGTCGATGCTCCATCTTCGTAAGAGCGAGATGACACTAAAGTACATGCCAGCATTGCCAGAGTTTTATAAACGCATTTTATTTTCTACAGGAAAAGCCTGGATCAGGAAGATAGATTTATATAAGGAGAGACGAAAACCAGCCACCAGGAGGAGATCAAAATTTTCAGCAAAGAAAATTGGCCACTCATTCCAGGTGGCCACAGGTTTTTATTCGCTCTTAAATTTATATTTGCCAACGAAAATTAAAAAGTTGTTCCTGAAAACTGCGAGCGGCAAAAAAAAATCAGCAAGCGGAAAATTAAACTAAAAACGAGACTGCCCAAACTAATTTATTCCAACTTATATCTATTCAAATCATTATTAATTTTATTTATTTATTTACGCAAACCAAAAACTACTGAAATATTATTTATTGTTACTTATTTATCTATTTATACATATAAATGTTTTCCATGTGAAAGTTCGGTACCATAGGTAGGCTTATTAAATGTTAGAATTTAAGAGAAAGTTGTGAAATATAAGGTGATAGCGAAATGAATTCGTGTGAGTAGAAATTCGTGTTGGGGGGTTAGATGGCTTAGGCGAGGTAGTACGACCCACAAAGCAGAATTGGCAGATTTGTCCAAAAAAATGTTGAAGGATGCAGTCATGGTTGGGTGGGATTCCAGGACCGCGATTAGAGCTGTGTGTCCAGTCCAGATGTTCGAAAATCCGTCGTGAAGATTGCTGTTGTCCAAATTTGAATTTCCGTTTTGATTTTGTTGTGTCTGCTACGTGGACAATATTTTTGGTTGCTCCCCTCCCTGGGACATTCGATGACTAGCCGGCATCTACACTGCGCGAAAAGCAGGACACGACAAATGGCGCCCAATGAAAATATAAGAAAATTAATGAAATGGAAGTAATAAAAGTAAAATATGCAAACTTAACGTAAAAGGTAAACACTCACCAGGGAAAGTGGCAATAGAAAACGACATCGGAAACTAGCTGTTTGGACCGTGGGCAGACGAAAAAGGTCGAACTCATCGTAGCCACAGTGAGTAAAATTCCGAAAGGTCCTTTCTGCTGAGCACAATCCTTGCTGAGAAAGTGAAGACCGACTAGAAGTGGACCCATGACCGAGTAAATACGGGACATGCGAAGCCAGGCTAGGAAGCTCAGAAGTAGCTAAAATAAAAAGAAAACAATTATCTTTTTAATATGTTGTCTGTGGTAAAGAAAATTTTTAATAACTTATCTAAATTTGTTGTCTGTGCTTGGAGTTGGTGTGGTCCATGTACACTGTGCATAAAGTGTGACTTCGATACCCAGCAAATTTCAAGTAGAGGGTGAAAGATGAAGAGTAAATTAAGTTAGTAAAATCGTTTAAATAATTATAAAAAAGTGACACGAACGGATTAGGAACTGAAGGAAAGGAGAGAAAAGTTAGTGGATAATATAAATAGATACGTCTCATCCCCCCATATTAAAAAAAGTTGAAGAGAGAGGAAAAAACAAATATAAATAAGAAAAGAATTAGGACATGCCAAATAGTGATAGGGATAGAGTTCAAATCGGAAGAAAATTGAGGAGAAGTTTGGAGTTCATTCGGAATAGGGGACCAGCAAGTATGACTCCGGAAAACGCAGCCTGGCAGGCTCAAATAAAACAAGTTGGACAGGGCCAAATACCCTCTTCGGGGACGCATATGCAGCCACCTCAAGTCATTGCAGAGCAGCCGAGGGCAAATCCGAATCAGATGCCACCATTCGATCCGAGGATGCTCCAGCAGCCTCCGCCAATCATACTGCCGGGAGTACGTCACCGTTTGGAATTCCCGCCGCCAACATCTGGGGCGCTGTCCGAGAAGCAGGAGATGAATCGTCACGCATCAAAAGGGTATCGGCAAACCGCCTGGTCGACGGAGCAGGAACCAAGAAGGTGGAATGGGTCTCACACGACGCCGCCAGAACATGGTCCTGGAAACGGTGGGACACAGCACAACTTCAATCCAGCGTCGGTCAAGCGGGGCAGCAGGCGATATAGCGTTTAAAGTCGGCCAGCTGCGGAAGTGGGGGCTAAGTTCCGTGTCCGAATTTATATTCCGCCTCGAACATATTTAAAGGTCGTATAAGGTGCCGTGTAAGGAGGTCCTAAGAGAGTTTCATGTATTAGTGGAAGGACAAGCCAAGGAATGGTACTGGATGTACGTGAGGTCGACGGAGAAGCAAGAATGGACTTACCTGAGTTCGCACTACAACAACAGTTTCGGAGTCACCGATCCAACTTCGAGCGAGAGTATGAGCTGCGAGAACGGAAGCAGAAGCCAGGAGAACCCATCTAGGTGCACATACAGACTATGCTAGCGCTCCGATCTCGACTAGAGATGCCGTTTTTCGACTTCGACCTGATAAAGATAGATCACAAACCTGGATCAACTCTGACATGAATGCCACGATGCGGAGAGAATATTGGCGACTCGATGGACCCGACATCCAAGCAACCTCGAAACTCACCGGGGATATAAGGATCGTCCGAGGATAGATGAGCTTTGTCCGGAATCAGTCGGAGAAGAGAGTTTACCTGGAGAACAAGAAGAAGTGGAGGCATAAGCTAGACACTGGGAGAACAACAGGGAACGAAAGCCACTTACATGCTGGAATTGTGGAACCGTGGGACATCCATTCAACGCGTGTGAATCGGTATTCTACTTCAAGTTTGGACCTCCCGGTGTGAGGACTCCAGGATGTACTCGATGCCAAACGGGAAACGGTGGGAGGAGCTTGGGCAAGAACGAGGAACCACGCTCCAATCCGTTTGCCACGAACAAGTGAAAGCCTCGACACATTGCATGCCTAATGATAAGGATAGCTAAGATTCTGATAAATATAAATAAACGTGTACATACCATTAAATGGTCGAAACGTGAACCTATAGCATACCGAATATTTGGGAAACATCATCCAGACCGGAATATTTGCCAGAACCCGTAGGAGAAGTCAGCAGCGGAAGGCAGAAAGAAGGATGATTTGTTCGGCCATCAGAGCTGCGGTGGAAGGCGACAATAGACCATTCGCACAAGTCAAGATAGAAGACCTGGAGGTCGTGGGTCTCTTGGATTAGGGGGCATCAGTAAGCTTGCTTGGGGAAGGTTGCCTAGAAACAGTGGAAAGGTTAGGACTATGATTAGAGAGTTCACAATCGATAGTAGTGCGGAAGATTCAACCCAACATATCGTATAATGGGTTAACACATCGATTGCCGATACTCCTTTGGCCTTCCTTGAAGCAAAAATTGTACCTTGGTATAGATTTCTAGAGGAAATTCGAATTGGCACCAGAGGTGGTGGGTGTAGAATCCTTAAACCAGGTGGAATCCGAATTTATGGCCAAAGGAGAACCGATAGAGGCACATATCCTATCCCCCGAACAGACTGAGCAGCTGGAAGAAGCGAAAGGACGTTTTCTGACATACGAAAGTCAAGGATTAGGACGTACCAAGGTAGAAGAACACTCGATCCAGTAAGTTGAAGGAGCCGTACCCGTAAAGGAGAGATTCTTTCCAGTTTCTCCGGCGAAACAACAACTGCTGTTCGCAGAAGTTGATGAAATGCTACGGTTAAGAGTCATCGAATTAAGTGAAAGTCCCTGGAACAACCGAACGATGCTGGTACAGAAACCTGGAAAGAATAGGCTGTGCTTAGACGCAAGGAAACTGAACACACTGACAGTGTAGGATTACAAAACATGGAGTCGATCTTAAGCAGGGTAGGTGAGACGATTTTCATCAGCAGCATCGATTTAAAACATGCGTTCTGGCAAGTGGAACTCGATGAGAAAAGTCGTCCCTTGACCGCTTTCACAATACCTGGAAGGCCACTTTATCTGTTTCGACGGATGCCATTCGACTTATGTAAATTAGTTTTGAGTTTCGAATTAAATTTTATTAAAATCGGACGACTATATCATATAGCTGCTATTGGAACAATCGGAAAATTGGTGGGAAAATAATATGAAACAATTTATAGCTTCGGCGTTTTTTAACTTATAACCTTCTACACTTGGAAATAACATTTTTTAATTAGTTTTGAGTTTCGAATTTAATTTTATCACAATCGGACGACTATATCATATAGCTGCCATAGGAACGATCGGAAAATTTGTGGGAAAATATTCAGGGTATTCCCTAAACTGTTGAATTGCTGAACTGTTGAAAATGCAACAGAAAATTTCAACAATTAAGGGAACGACCCTAAAAGTTCCCTGTTAAATTTTCAATTCTAAGATGTCAGCTGATTGTCAGATTATCAAATTGCCAGGCTGTGTTTACCAAAGATTATGCTTAAAATAAAGGAAAATGCCGAGAATAAGCCAAAGGACTAAACTGTTATAACTGCTAACGGTCAGGATCCTATCAAATATCCATTACTTGCATATTTTATACGATTGCAATTCCTCCATGTTTACAAGTGACCAGAGTTACCCTCTTACTTTTAGTCGAGAACAGCGACAACTCTGCTTTTCAGCAATTCAACAAAAATTTTAACAGCCCCGAGGCTAAATTTAATTAAATTAATAAATTAAATTTAATAAAAATCGGACGACTTTAACATAAAGCTGTCAAAGAAACGGTCAGAGAAATAATGAAATAATTATTATACCCTTTCATTTATTATACCTTTGCAGAGTGTATTATGATTTCAGTCAGATGTTTGCAACGTAGTGAAGGAAACGTTTTATTCTTGAACAGCATCACTAGACGAGTCGATCTAGCCATGTCCGTCTGTCCATCTGTCCGTCCGTTTATAGAAACGGTTTGCATAGGCAAACTAGTCTTTCAGCTTTAAAGCTATCGGGCTGAAACTTTTCCAAAAGTCTTATTTCTTTTGCAGGTAGTATATAAGTCGGAACCAGCCGGATCGGACGACTATATCTTATAGCTCCCATAGGAATAATCGGAAAAAGAAATAAAAGCAAGAAAGGAAGTTAACTTCGGCAAGCCGAACTTGTATACCCTTGCAGTTATGTTTATTAAATTTAAATACAATAAATGATATTCCCAATAGTATATATGTCAAAAAACACCGAAGCTATAATTTGATTCATATTATTTTTCTACCAATTAATACCAATCAATACCAGTCCAAGCCTCATCGAGTAAAGACGTACTATCAGCAGAACTCCGCGAGTACCAGCAGTTACAATTACAAAATTCTTACAATTTTTGTAAACACAAACAAGTGCTCAAAGAAAACTTAAAAAAACCCAATAAGAAAAATCACATCACAACCTTTACAAACGCGCAGAAGTGCCTTGTGCTGCGGGCGGCAGCCCAGGCACAACAACAATGCATTGACCACCGGACTTAGACTTCCCCCTCTGTCTACAAAAACAACATTATTCGAACCGAAATTTCTCACGATCACCAGAACGGACAATGAGACATTTGAAAAAGTTTCGCCATTCGTGATTAAAAAGGAGTCTTGTAACAAGAATAGAAACGGAATCTTATTAGTTAAAACCATTTGCGCAACCCAGGCATCTAGATTACTAAAGCTAGCGCAATTCCACAACTTCACGTTTTCCGTAACTGAGTATGAAACATTAAATTTCTCAAAAGGAAACATCTACTCTAATGAACTTCGCCACATAGATGAATGGGATATACTAAACGAGCTTAAGTTGCAAAGGAAACCAACATTGAAAAAATACGTATCATAAAGAACCGTCACTTTCGGATCAACAACTCTACCCGAAACCTTGATGATAGGATACGAGAGAGTTAAAGTTCGACCACATATTCTACGCCCACTGAAATGCCGTAACTGCCTGAAGTTTGGACGCCCGACCAAACTCTGCAGAAGCCCCAAAACCTGCATCAACCGCAGAAGCACACACCACAGAGAACACCGATTGCGACAATCCAAAGTTTTGCATAAGCTGCAAATATGATATACACAACCAGTTCAATCACAGTCCACTAGATAAAACATGCCCCGCCTTTATCAAACAAAAAGAAATAAAAACAAAAAAAACAACAAAAACTACAAAAAGTTGACCACAAAACCGCCACAAGAATATATAATATGCGCCACATCCATCAATCTACTCCGTACTCCAAGATAACGCCCACCAATCAACCTACGACCACTGTAAATGAAGCCCAAAAGACTGCCAGCACCCGAGGACCTACCAGCACAAGCACCAACCGTCAGTTAAGGACATACAACTACGACCCTCCCTAAGAAGAAGATGACTAAATCCGACCGTAAGCTTAGAAGGCAAAATAATAATAAGACAAACCTAACATCAAAACCCCCTCTCAAAGCCAAAGATAAATCAGACAAAACAAAGCCTATAAATATTACCAAATTAGCCAATAAATTAAGCAGACAAGCCAATCACAACAGCTCTGAGGAAGAATTTTAAGTAGATTTATAGCAAATATTTATTAAAATTATCACAATGGTATTAATCCTGCAATTGAACTGTAACGGCTAATTATTACTTAAATGTTATAACCCAAAAGCCATCTGCCTGCAAGAAACCCATTTACATTCCCTTAATAACATTCCCATCCCTATCCCTATCATTCATACATAAAAACACATCAAACAACTCCCACGGTGGAGTTGGAATTCTAATCCACAACTCAATACAGAACGAACAAGTTAATCTTAAGAATCTGTCGGAGTTATTATTCACTCCAAACAAAAGCTTCGTCTCATGTCCACTTACATTGCCCCAAACAAGAATTTTGAACTACGAAACTTGGAAAATATGTATGGTAATCCCAATGAAAATACCATCATAGCAGGTGACTTTAACAGCTGGCACCAAAGCTGGGGATCGCCTAACAATAATAGAAAGGGATGCACGATTTTTAAATACATTTCACAATTTAACATAACATCCTTAAACGATGGTTCCCCAACCCATTTCTCAACTCATCATACAATGACACACGTGGACCTAACAATAATTACCCCGAACCTCGCCACTCAGACCAAATGGAAAACCGATCATGAACTCTTCGGTGGTGATAATTTTCCCATCCATATTAACCTTTTTGATAATAAGAATTCCAGTAAAAGCTACAAGGTCCCCAGATACAAGCCTGAAACCGCAAACTGGCCCCTCTCACGGAAATTTTTCACAACAAAAGGCCACCAAGCAACCAAATGAATCAAGAAGCCGCCAACATTATAAAAATAACCCATCAAGGCCCAAGCACAGCAATCCCGCAATCAAACCCAGCGTTTAATAAAAAGAAAACCGTCCCTTGGTGGAACACATCCGTCGAACAACTTAGAACCAATAAAAACCAATCGTAGTACTTGCTAAAAAGAAATATATCTCTCGAGAACATCATACAGTTCAAGAAAAACAAGGCTTTGTTTAGAAGAGAACTGAAACAAGCAAAACGCAACTCACTGCAAAAGTTTACTGCAGAAATCAACCCCACTTCAAGCCACTCAAAAATCTGGCCAAAAATCAATACATTCTGCGGTAGAAAAACCAGAAATGATATACACTGCTTAACATCTCCATCAGATCTATCCATAAACATTATAAATTCAGAATCATCTTCGGACTCTAAATTTACCGAATCATTCCAAACTAATAAGAACAGAGTCTGCTCAAAGAATTTAACACATCCGTCGAACAACTTAGAACCAATAAAAACCAATCGTAGTACTTGCTAAGAAGAAATAAATCTCTCGAGAACATCATACAGTTCAAGAAAAACAAGGCTTTGTTTAGAAGAGAACTGAAACAAGCAAAACGCAACTCACTGCAAAAGTTTACTGCAGAAATCAACCCCACTTCAAGTCACTCAAAAATCTGGGCAAAAATCAATACATTCTGCGGTAGAAAAACCAGAAGTGATATACACTGCTTAACATCTCCCTCAGATCTATCCATAAACACTATAAATTCAGAAACATCTTCGGACTTTAAATTTACCGAATCATTCCAAACTAATAAGAACAGAGTCTACTCAAAGAATTTAACACACAACCCATCACAGGAAGCATTGTCAATAGAATCTGTGGCAGCCTGTCACTACGAGCGTTGTCATTGAGTCAGTCGTTTATATACACTTGTAAAGTGCGGATCGCACCGAATAAATAATAAATATTGTTTGCATATCTTAGTAATTGCGTGCAGTTGGTTTGTAATTATTGGGCAATTTGCAGGTCATTACATTGGCAACGAGAGAAAAAACCGAAAAAAAATAGAAAAAGAC